TAAAAGACATCAATTCTCTTTAAACAGTCTTCACTACACGCCATTCATAAAAAATTTAGGACATATAGTGTACGCTCTTTTGATTGGTAAAACATGACTCTCATAATTGGAAGGATGCATCAAGTCTTCAAAAACCATAGAGTAAACGACATGTTTCCACCCAAAGATTAGCGAAATGACAAGTTTACGTCTCTAATTCATTTATTCCAAATTTTCACCCTTAAATTAACATAAAATCGTTTAATGTAACGGTCAAAAGGTAAGTGGCCATTTGCATTGCATTAAATCTGAAATGAAAATAAAAATATTAAGAGAACCCTCTATATCTCAAATTTTTCTTGCAAGCATCCTTGAGAAATATCGTAACAATCCTTGCAATTTTGAAATCTGTCATTCGCACCCCTGTGATAGAAAAACCATGATTCGTCGCAGCAGCCAAAATCATTACAGCACCAATCCATGCAATCCAACCCAAATTCACTGTGGAGAAGAGGGAAGGACAGAGAGAAAGAGAAAAAATAAGAGATAAGAGATAAGGAGAAAGAGAGACAAAAGAGAAGAGAGAAAGAGGTGGCGGCGGCGACGGCCAGATCTGGAAAGGAGAAAGAGAGAGAGAGAGAGAAAGCAAAAAAGAAGAGAGAAAGAGGTAGAGAAGATCCCAGCGACTAGATCTGGCTACTAAGATCTTGTCGTTTTCGTCGCGTGGCATAGAGAGGAAGGTTAAAGAACAGGGTGCTATTGGAATAAAATTGAAAGTAAGATGGTTATTTTTCTAATTCTTCTAATTTGGGGGTTAAAAGGTGATTTATTAATTTATTTGTCAAGGGCAACTTGGTAATAACACTTTCTATACTATATCAAAATCCAAAAATCATTAACGGTGTTAATTTAAAAGTGGGAAATTGAAATAAATGAAATTAGGGATGAAAACTTATTACTTCGCTAATTTTGGGTGGGAACTGTTAGAGTCCCACACCGACTAGGCGCGTTCAAGCTTATTGGTTTATAGGAGTGGTAATCCTGTTAAAGTCTCACACCGACTAGACACACTCAAACTTACTGATTTATAAAAGGAGGTAATCATCTTATTCAACAAGATCTTATTGGGTAAGGAGTCAGATTCATCTCAAATTCTATCATGAACATGTTGTTTACTCGAACCTATACATCATAATTTTTATTTTCAAAACTATTTGGTTTATTTTAAGTTAACCTTTGAGATACTATGTAATTATACGTTTAATTATTCAAAGTCATACATCATCAACAAGGGTACATGTTTCGAAAACCATGTATAATAATTTTTAATTTAAACCATTTGTATTTATTTAAGTTTACCTCTTGGAGACAATGTAATTACCCCTTTAATTAATAAAATATATATATAATAATTCTCAATTCGGCATCAAGTGAGGTATATGTCCGAAACAATCATATAGTATAATATTCATTTTAAAATCATTCAGATTTTTTTAATCTTATCTTCTTGGAGATGATGTAACTAGCCTTATTAGTAATCCAATAAGTGCTAATAAAAATTTGCACGTAGACATGCAGTAAAAACCATTGCCTAAAAAAAACGCAAAAATTTGTAATAAAAATCCAAATTTCGGCATAATTATGAAAACGATTGCGTTTATTTTTTTTTTATCATTATGGTCTAATTTAGTAAATAGACCAATTTATTAGTTAAAACAAATGATTGAGAAGAAGGTAAATATTTATTAACTCATCCGGGCTTTTGGATCATATATTTTTTTATTATAAAGATCATATATTATTTTATTATAAAGATATATTATATTAACGGAAAGAAAGATCTCTTTGAAGATTATTGAAAATATTTAGAGAATATGTTTGGTTGGTTTGAATAAATTGATGAATATATGTTTGGCAGGGAGGATAAATTGATAGGTATGTTATATAAATTATTAAATTGTTCTCTTTATTAAATATTAATATAATAATATTTTTTTTATTATTGTTTTTTGAATAATTTTTTTAACGCCCTACATTTGAAATTTTTCTAAAACACTAGCCATATAAAATTTTAATTTATAGCAAAATCACCCCCACCCACCCCAAGCCACTGCTTGCAACTAGCCACCACCACCGACCGCCGTAGACAATTGACGGAATGGCTCATGAATAGCCGTATATGGCTGGCCATGCGCCAACAAAGCCAGAAATGGACATGGATCGCAAATCCATGGTCGGACAACGGTCAAATCTATGGCCGCCACATATCTAGTTGTGACAAGGCTAGATCTTTGGCCGTGCCATTTCATGGCCAAAGATCTGGGTTTTTCACGGCCATAGAAACGTCAAATCTAGTCGTTTCTCCGGAAAAGGCCTTATCGGCACACGACTGGCTAGATCCCGCTGGTCGTGCACCATTACGGTGACTAACGCTAACAGTCGGCAGTGGTCTTGGGTAGCTGTGGGTATTTTATTAACTTTTAAACTTTTTTGTGTCTGGGGTGTTTTAGCTCATTTCTCAAATATATGGGGGGTTGGATAATTGTTATTTGGTAGACATTTGAGGGCAATTATGTCCGAAATGGTTTTTAATTAAGGGCAAAATGGGTAGAAAAATCATACTACCCCAATAATGTTTTAATAATATCCCCTAACAAGGTAGTAAGATTACCTCACACATTACCAATAGTAAACACTATTTGCAGTAAAAGATTACCCTAATATTTTATTACTTGCAAACTAAACACCAGAATCTTTCAAAATAAGAGAAGATTACCCCTGTTATCTTATATACCCCCGATTCAAACGGCCCCATCATGTTATAAATTTTAACAATACATTAATAACTTGCTAACAATGAAAAGATTTATGTTATTTTTAAAATTTCAAGGATAATTTTGTTATTTGATTAAATTTCAAGAGAGTCAAGATTAAAACTCTTGCATTGAAAGACGACAAGTTCATTTGCAAGCTCACGGGTGAATCGTGGACTTCAAATAGAGCCCAAAATGGTTACAAGATTTTACTATGGGGCGTTTGGATCATATAATGTTTTATTATAGGGTGATATTATGTTAACAGAAAGATAGATCACCTTGAAGATTACTGTGAATGTTTACAAAATATGTTTGGTTGGTTCGAATAAATTGATGAATAATATGTTTGGTTGAAAGGATAAATGGGTGGATATGTTATATAGATTACTAGATTGCCCTTCTTTTTAAAAATTAATATAATAGTATTTTTTATAATTATTTTTTGAATAATTTTTTTAGCACCCTATGTCTTAGATTTAGCAAAAATACCCCAATAACAAAAAACGTTTTAAACTTAACAAAAATACTCCTACCTACCGCAAGCCACTGTCGACTGTCAGCCACCATCGCCAGTGGCTGCTGACAATGCCACAGATCTGGCAGTGAAATGGCTAGGTCTTTGGCCGTTTCACAGCCAGATTTGTGCCTGTTTCTGACAATGAATATGTGATCCATGGCCGGAAAATGCCTCACCGGCACACAGCTGGCCATATCCGGTAGGTCGTACGCCATTATGGCAACTTTTGACAACCTTTGGCAACGATCGACGGCGACTGGCAATGGTGAAGTTTAAAACATGACTCTCTTAATTGGCAACATCATCATATATATATATATATATATAGCGACGTTTTACCGGTCAATTTTCCTTGAAAGAATCTTTACTACGCATCATTCATAAAATAGAACAAACATATACATATATATATGGTGACGTTGTCAATTAAGAGATCATGTTTTAATTGGCTCGGTTGAACAATCGGTGGAGTCGGACTGATCCTGGATAGAGCTATATCCTCGTGATAGCCCGAGTTTGGTGGAAAAATCATATACAACATCAACCATTTGCATTTGTTTAAGCTAATTAACCTCTCAAAGGATGTGTAATTACCCCTTTAATTAGTAAAAATCAGTATCAAGCGAGGTATATGTCCAAACCAATCGTATGTTATAATATTCATTTCAGATTTTTTTAATCTTATCTTCTTGGAGATGATGTAACTAATCTTATTAGCAATCAAATTCATATATGAAAATTTAGGATTAGGGTTTATACAAGATTCAATGTTTAAAAAATTAAAACAAAAATATAAAATAAAGTATGAGTGTATCTAGAAATTATAATGTTATTTCTAGTAGTTTAGGTCAAGGTTAAATTATAATGAGTGCAAAATTCTCATATTACGTATAATTTGTTAGTTGATCGCAGCATTCTTTGGTGAATGCCTAAATTAGAGAGTTTATGAATATATCATTACACCTAAAATAAATTTAGGTGATTGGTCAAATTGTCCTTGTAGCTTTTATGTAAATTTTCTCAATTGTCATCCTCAAATTATCTAGTTGGCACTATCTAAGCAAGTCCATCCAAGTTTCCAGGTGGAATTGGTTTGTAAATTTTATTCACCAATTCCAACAATTTTAATCATTTTGACATTAACCTTTAGAGCATTATTTGTAAGTTGATGGAGACCAAACGCTTTGTGGTCCTAAATTACCGTCTCAACAATCAGTCAAGATTACATTCTAATTTTTCACAAATTTACACTTAAAAGTCTTTTAACAAGTACAACAATATTACATATTTTTTTACTTTGACGCTTTACAACAAGAGTTCGCAACTTTTCTCTCTTTTATGAGCTTCTTCCACTAGAAATTTAAGTTCGAATTTTAAGAGAGAGTATGACGTTAAAAGGAGTGAGAATAATTCGTTTATAAGAAAAACTTATGTGCAGGCATCCATCACTCCAGAAAGGACAATCTAAATGCACATGTAACAAGATTCTTGCTGGTAATTTTTATTTTTATTTTTATGAAATATATAAATATGTATCTCATGCGGAAAAATGGGCGTCGGAGAAATTTCGATATGGGAAAAGAAACATAAAAATCCACGATTGCAATATAATAAACCACTAAATACTCAGTCCTCCCTACATAATTCACACATTGCGTTGCATTCTCAAGAGGAGTACTCAAGGATATATGGCCTCTTCTTCATCACAGCCTAATTCCCCTTCTTCATCGCAGACGACTATCGCCCCTTCTTCATCTATGCCTAGTTCCCCTTCTTCGTCTCAGCCTGTTACTCCTTCATCTCAGCCTGTACCTGCTGCCCCTTCTTCATCGCAGCCCAGCGCACCTTCATAACCCCAGCAGCACGCCGCTTCTTCAACACAGGCCAGAGCCCCGCCTCAAACTACTGCATCTTCTTTATTGCAGCCTAGCTCTCCTACTTCAACTCAGCCTCGGCCAGTTGTCAATTCTCCATCGCAACCTCGCGCCTCCTCTTCATCTCAGCCTCTGCCTGTTCCCTCTTCTTCAGTTCAGCTTAGTGTCCCTTCTTCACCGCGGCCTGTCGCTCCTTCACTGCAGCGCATCCCCCTATCCCCACAGAATAAGGGTAAGTAGTATGTAGAAAATTAAAATAAAATTCAGCAAGTAAATAACTAGTCCAACAAACAAAAAAATAAACAAGATTTGGCAATTATGCCTTCTGTTTTTCTTTCAGAGGATTNTCAAGCTTACAGTTGACTTTTAATTCATGCAAATTTCTGACCGCAATTAGGCTCTCTAGTAACCATCTAGTGGGGCAAATTTCACCAGATATAGTTGCCCTGGAATCTCTCTCTTACCTCTCACTTTCTAGGAACTTTATAACAAATATCACAGGCGCCATCAGGATTTTAAAGGGTTGCCAGAACCTCAGAGTTCTCATCCTCTCTGTGAATTTCATTGAAGAAGCAGTCCCAGATGATAACCAAATAACATTCTCACATGGATTTCAAAATCTCCAGGTTCTGGCTTTAGGAGGCTGCCAATTGAGAGGTCAAGTTCCAACCTGGATAGGTAAACTCAGACGGCTACAGGTTTTAGACCTATCAGCGAATCAAATCACTGGTGAAATTCCAGGTTTGTTAGAGAATTTGACAAGTCTGTTCTACATGGACTTGTCACAAAACCTTATGTCAGGAAAAATTCCGAAGAAACTTGGCGAAATCCCAATGTTCACATCGAAAGAAGCTAACGATCAAGCTAACAAGATAAATTTAGAGCTTCCCATCTTTGTTATTCCAATGATCAATGCTCTCAATCTGCAGTATAACAAAATCTTGTACCTACCACCAGCCACATACCTGGCAAACAACAGCTTTAGTGACAGTATCCCCATTGAGATTGGTCAGTTGAAGTTTCTTCACGTGCTTGACCTCAGCCATAACAAATTGTCTGGTGAAATTCCGAACCAATTGTCTCAACTCACCAACTTGGAGCAATTGGATCTCTCTGCAAATCAGTTATCTGGAAAAATCCCTGCTTCATTCAGTAGTCTCAATTTCTTGTCTTCATTCAACGTTGCAGATAACAATCTTCAAGGAACAATACCTGCAGGAGGTCAGTTTCGTACTTTTCCTAGCACCAGCTTCGAAGGCAATCCAGGATTGTGTGGTTATATTTTAGAGAACTGTTCTATTCAACCGAAAATGAATAGTCCTCCTGAACCAAGGGAATCCTCAAACAATGAGCTCGGTTATGGACTAATTGCTGGAGGAGTTTTCGGATTCATAATTGGTTTTACAATTGGGATATTATACCCCCTTCATAGATTGAAGTTTCTGCAGTATTTTAAGGAATGGCGAATGACAGGGAGAGGAAGGAACGATGTAGAACCAACTTGGGATGACATGATTGCTTTGACCTGAAGCCAACGCATTGGAGATCATGCTTGCTTAGGAGCCAGTCTTTTAACATTTGATATTCTCTAACAGCTAAATTGTCACAAAATTTGTTAATCAGCTTGGAATATATATGTTTTGTATCTCCACCTAACTTATCAATTTTCAGTCTTAAGCAGCCCACAAAACTGTTAGTGTTTATGATGAATAAACGTTTTCTCCTCTTTTACACAAGTTCTCCTCAATGCAATTTCATTGTTTAATTTCTATTTGTTTCAACACTCCTCCGATTTCTAACAAAAACAAACTGTTAAATGCCGAAGAAAACAAATTATTTGATTTGTTCTTAGGCAAGTGTTCTTTCCAATATATCTTTTATTTTGACACATTGACACTTTTGATTCCAAACACACTTATAGCCAAGTGATTTTGAATGTCAGTTTGAAGAACTAGTCAGAATTTTCCATTTCGATAATAAAAGTACAAAACAATAACACTAAGAACTTTCCCACAAATAATTAATAAACTCCTGAATGATGCTTGAGTCTTATTAAGACCTCCTATTGATTATATATAGGAAATTTTTTCTTATATGTTTGAGGATTGAAAATACAATTCTTCAAACTCTTAGATTCAACAAAAATAAATTGCAAATCTAACAAGTCGATACATTTTAAGGACTCATATATATATTAGGATGAAATTACTCCAAGAAATTACAAAATTAAGAGAGAATTCAAGGAATATTTTCATTAAAGATAAATCACGGACTTCCTAAAACTAGTACTCTTCTAATGCAAGAAATCAAACTAAAAAATCTAACCACAACCACCCTCATTAATCCCTTTTTAGCATTTGCTTGAACCAATATGCAGACATCTTCGGATACCTCTTAAGAGTATTGTAGTCGACATAGACGATGCCAAATCGCGAAGTATATCCTAACAACCATTCAAAATTGTCGAGCAACGACCAGGCAAAGTATCCGACAACATTAGCTCCATCATCAATAGCCTTTTTCAGAGATGATATATAGTCTCTGTAGTAATTTACTCTTAGGGTGTCATGTAATGCTTTTGGTAATTATGTCATATTGCCCGGTTGGTCCATACCTATTATCATTCATAATAATCGCAATCATCAGCTAAATTCATTGAGATTATATTGATTCGACAATATCCTCTTGCAACTCATACCATTTTCTGAGAGAATCATAGTTGGATTTCCATAATGCTCTATGTCATACACTTGTACATACTTCAAGGTACAATGTAGAGCCATGGAGTATATGCCTGCAAATGTTTGAGGATTAAAACCAAAAACTGTTGGAAGTGAAGCTTGGAACGACGTCGTACTGAATATTAGTGGAACGGTGTCATTTTGGACAGCTTGAAGACGAATCCTGACCATTGATTCAGTGCCAATCCAACGGATGAGATTAAGCCACAAGTCAACACTATAAAAGGAAGGTCTTCGTGAAAAACGCAAGAGTTTTCGAAGAAAAGAGAGAGCCTGACTTTGTTCATTGTCTTGATTAGGGTTCTTGATAATTTGAGTATGATTCTTTTATGTAATCTATGGTATCTTGAGTGAGTGGTGTAATCATTTAAGGGAAGAACGATTGTGTTCTTAGTTTAGGAATTCCAGGTTTAGAGTATTCTTAGGGTTAGGTTGCGGGTTGAATCAGTGGTGTGTGATTTAGGGTTTTTCTGGTTGTTTGTATCAGGGACTGTAAGTGATTGTTTCTGTTAATCCTAGTGCAGCGAACTCTCGTATTTCGGAGTTCAACGTGAATGTAGCTTGCTCAAAAAGGGTAAGTGAACCACGGTAAAACCGGTGTTGATTGTGTGTGTTTCTGCGTGATTCTGTTTGGTTGTTTGGTTGATTGCATAACAAAAACAAATGCAAATGCAAAATATTTTCAATAATAATAATTTACCTTTGGACCAATTGGCTTTCCATTACGTTCATCTGCAAAATTTGCAGCAAAATTAGATAACAAAAACAAATGACTTATGAAGCAATAAGCAAGAGATGTATCCTGCGAGGGCTTACAAACGAAACCGACATTCCAATCATTCTGATAACTTGTGATATTGGACTTAGGCCATGGAGGATCCATCATGTAGAGGCCGGTGTTATAATTTGTTTTATACAATTACTAGGAACTTGAATGAAAGGATCCCAAATACTGGGTCCCCTTCCATCTTTAGAAGCCATGCCTTCAACTTGATATGCAGAAGTGTCAGTTCCAAACTGAAATCCTTCTGGAAAAGCTTTCCGGCTTAGTCCTCCTGTGTCGAATCCATCGCCGCAATCTACATTTGCATTGTCAGTGCAATCACCTTTTGATGCATTTGAAACGTAAACAATAACCAAGAAGGCAAGAACCAAATTAAATAAAGAAGAAGACTTCATGCTGTTGTGCATGAAGTGAGAAGAGAAAACTGAAGTTGTTTATAGTAGAGTAAATGACTGAACGTAACTGTTACATCTTTTGGATATAAACAAGTGATTCTTTGAAAATCAACATGTAACAGATATTAAAGATATTGATTTATGATTACGATTTTATTATGAAAATAAAAATAATTTTAATATAGATTACACAAGATATAGTCAAATTTCTTAAATTTTTTATTTTTTAAATATGTCATAGTTTATTCTTGAAACACCCTTTTCGTCTAATCCTATTACATTCTTCAATTGATTTCGAATTGTCAGTCTAGATTTTTAAAATTAATAAGGTACTGGGTCCATAAAATATACTATTATAATCACTTCCACTTAAATTTTAGAAATTTTTTGGCCTCCTTTCCTTAATAAACCTCTGAATATGAATGGCTCGATTTTATCTTATATTCGTTTTGCTATTTCTATGAAAGAAAAAGTTTTGTCAATAGGTGTTAATTACCTCAATTTCCAATTTCGGTTACCTCTTTGGTTGAGGTATTATTTTTGTTCGCTTAAGATGTTTCTATTAATGAAAAAGCAAAGGAGGTGTTTATTTGGGTTGTGTGATTATAAATACTAAATTTTTATAAAGGTTTGGTTTTAACTAGAATATTATGTATGTGATTTTAAGCCTTCAACTTGAAATGAGGCAATTGATGCCAAAAAATGCACCAACATAAGTGATTCGATTGACCGTAATAGAATCGAAACAGATATGCGCGTGATTAATTAAAATCAATAAAGAATGCAAGCTAAGCAAAAGAAAGTGAAAATGACACAAGAAGTTTCAAAATGGTTTAGCAAGTTGTTCCTCCAACCTACATCGATCCACTATATATATATATATATATATATATATATATATATATATATAGACGCACACACACTATCCTTCTTTCTCTTTGTTTCAGTCTTGCACTAAATTACCATATGAATGCATAAAATTCTGACCAAATTAGTACGATAGCTAAGTGTTAGGCACGAGTTATTCCACGGTAAAAGAACATAAATATGCAACTAAAGTTTAGTCACGAAGTGATAATAAAATTTTGAAACAAGTTTTTTTAATCCTAAAAAGGTTATTACTAAACAAGTAAAATAAAGGTACCGTTTAATGAGTTCTGTAACTATACGTGTAAATATAACGAAAAAAAGAAAAAAGGAAGATTGATAAGAGTTGATATATCAACCCAAGACAAGAAAATAACTTTACCGTCACAAACTTTTTACAATTAATTAGAGGGATCTTCTACGTAAGGATCGGCTTAGTATGCCAATTACCTTAAAACGACTTTGAGGCAACAAGGATTAGCGAGTTAATCTTGGCCTTGTATTTTAAGGAGAATGTTAAAAGCATTCTAGTGATGCTCCTCTTAGGATCCATGGTATGTCTCTGATAGTGATATTAAAATCATGAGTGAACTTAAGCTCTAAAGCGATAGAAAGAGTTTTATCTGATTTTGGATTTACTTTTCACAATAGAAAGATAAAATAAAAAAATAAAAAAAGTGTGAGAAATAGTGAATAAGTGGGCGTAAAGCTAACTAAATATCAGTTTCAACGTCCCTTGCACTTAGCATGGAATTTTTAACTTCATAATCTGGTTTTACATTCTATTTTCAAGAGAATTTTCATCATTTTTAACTTTATTTTCATTAATCTGACTTTGTGTGCTCTCTTAAAGTGATATCATGCTAAAGTTTTGTTTTGTTTTCAAGCTGCTGCAACTTTACAGAGGCAGAGGTTTATGGGCCCTCCACTTTTGAAATTTTGCTTCAACTTTTTATAGTGCCCCTTACTAATTAATAAATTTATTTTTATACATAAATTTAATTATATAAATGACCAATTGTGTTTTCGTACATATAAACCCGTATTAAAAAATATTAAAATGTGGTTGAAATTGGATATCTTATCATACAAAGTTTTTGCTGAAATACTAATCAACAAAGGCAGAGCTTAATGGGCACTGGACTTTTGCTAAATTTGCATTTAATTTTTTATAGCGCCCCTTCTTCATATTTTTTTTTTTTTTTTAATCTTTACCCCCATAACTTGGATTACCATTCAATAATTCCAAAAGCAGAAGAAAATTAACTAATTGATTGAGATATTATGCTTGTACTAACTTTCATATTACAAGAAACTAATTATATAACGGAATATCATTTCTTATATGTAAACTTTGTTACATATTGTTGAGTGACTACAAATTTGTTGACTTCAACTATTTCTTTCTTAAGCTCTCTTTTGAATTGCTTCTGCAAATGGATCGTATTGGTTTGGAATATCATTATTATAATCATTAACTTAAGGTCTAAAAGGAAATGACATAATCAACCCCAGATCAAGTGGCTTAATAAACAATCAACTACATATAAGCAAAGAAAACAGATAAAAGTAAATGAGACACAACGATTTACGTGGTTCACCCATTTGGGCTACGACCACGGTAATAATATGACAGAGATTTTTCACTATAAATCAAAACAGTACAATGATACAATCTCTCTAACAAAAAGTTATTAGAAAATCAATCCCTAACAAAGTTAAGCATATAACAATGTGGAGAAAAAAACTGTTAACTAAGATAAGTAGCAAAAGTTGGAGAGGTTATTGTTTCAACTGAGAGATGAAATGAAACAAAGACAGTGATAGTAACATATACCTCATTCCATTTTCAGCGTTTTCCACAAGGGATGATTAATTTGCTTAAGTGACACCAGATTCCTGGAATGACTTTAGATCTCAATATGAGAAAACTTTGCAATGTTATTATGTGAAGACAAATAAGCTAGCGGTTAGGAATCTTTACCATGAAAAAATTTCTGATTTTAATCACTTTAATTGAGGAGACTCTGCAATGTTCCAAATCCTATAGCACAAACAAAAGACCAATATGTTAATATGCTGCAATATATATAGTATATGATGTTCAAATAATGAAAAATGGAGAGATAAAGTCTATTTAATTTTGATTAAGAAACTACCGATTAATATTGATTATAGTAGAGATGTCGAAATTATGTTCTTCACTTAAATTGAGACCTTGCAATGTTTCAAAATCCTATTACAGAGATATGAGACTAATGGAAGCAACCTATAAATCAAAGGATAAACTTTTCTGTCATTAGCTGATCTTGAATTCACAGTAACTCCAGCAAGATCTTTCTTAGATTTCTCTTCTGTGTACCTATACAGTAACATTGGTCCCGCAGCCTAAGTGAAGGCTAGCGAGAATCACCTTTTACATTAGAGTAGATCATAAGCTTCAGAGAACTAGGCCTCGGCCACGGTGCAGTACTGATTTTGTGATTTGGAAGTTGAAGGAGCATCCTTATCATAAGACTTTGTATGAATGCAATCATCTGAGTAAAACACAGGTTTTCTGGTATTAGCTCCATGAGAAAGAAAAAACAGTTTCATAATAAGAATAATATGGTGGTCAACAATGTGTCAGAATAAGTTCTATTAATCCATAAAGAGAGTTCATACCAATGCGAGCCCAATGCCCATAAAACTGAACCCCGGGTAATAAAATGGTGCCCCATCAGAAAGGAACAGAGCTGGATAGACAAAACCCAAATTTAATTAATTAATCTCATGCCTTGTAAAACCAGAAAGTTTTCAATTCCTTCACTTAACTGTCAGTGGACTAAATATCAATGGTGAAATAATGGTGGCAAGGGAACTTATGCCTGATATACATCCTTGAGCTTTTCCCTGTTATTAATTCAAGAGTTAGTACATAAGTTTGCACACATGGAGTTAATCAGACTTCTCCTTCTATCAAGAGTTTTAAGACCCGATTTTAGAAAAATCAGAACATTCGCAGTTGAGAATCTAACAAAGAGTCTTAACAATGAAAAGCAATATTGGATGGGATCACCCGCTCATGTGCCCCCAACTTGTTTCGAATGCCATGCTGCGTAACTGTGGTAGAAAATTTAATCAGTAAGCGTACTATTTCTATCAGTTAAGCTAGCCTTAAGCAATATAAAATAGACGGACATAACTTACCGATGGAGCTCTGAAGGCAGCGAAAACACCAAAAGCAGTGTTTGCATATGGAACCTGCAGGAATAAAAATATGTTTTAAGAATGATCAAAATTCTCTTGAAAATAGGATGTAAGACCAGATCAAAGTTAAAAATTCCATACTAAGTGCTTAAAAATTCCACTTCTAGCATTAGACAACAATTGCAAAGAAAAAACCATGGCGAGTTGACGGAGCCTTTTTGTTGTTAAAACTGATTTTTGAATAACATTATGACTTTTTGTTGCAAAATTATTTGTGCCTTACCCATGTTGTCACGTACTTAGTGCTTTTATTATTTATTCAAGAAGTTATAAAAATATTGCCTATTCACAAGCATTGAAACTAAATAATCTCATCCAAAATTTATTCATAATAAAAATTGAAGCTAACAGGTAAGGAGAGAAGAAATTACTTGTGGATTGATCAGTATTGTAGTATTTTGAGAATTCAAAGGCTGTCCCTTTTTAATATGCAGAACCAAAGTTGAAGTTTAGACATGAGAGATGTCGGTCAAAACTGGAGGATATGTCAATTCACTGAAGTTCTTCTAGGAACAGAACGACCACCCACTTCTGGTTCTAGTAGAGATGTTGTTGCTATGTTCTTCACCTTAACAGAGACCCTGCATTGGTTCAAATCCTATTATTTTGAGTAGATAAAATGAATTTGTTACGTTTGTAGAAAAACATAAAATATCCATGCAAACCGACTCTCAAATTACAAGCTTTATATTAAGAGTATAATTAGATTCATTAAGATGACTAAAGAGCACAAATAATTAGGGTATTAAATATTAAAAGATGTAATCATAAAGAACGTAATAAAACAAATAATTAAAAGTGAAAAGAGAGGAAATTACCTATGGTTTGGAGGAAAATCAGTGTTGAAGTTGATGATTTTAGAGAACTTAATCAGTATTAGGCGAAGATGATAATAAGCTCGGACATCCATATATTTCCTTCTTCAACGTTGTCATTTGATGAAGGTGGTTTGGTAGAGTCTTCAATGTGGGGCAAGATTGAAGTTGCAAGGTCTGAAGGGATGGCATGACTGTAATATCTTCATCTCCTCTCTTTGTAATCTCGTAATTCCACTCTTCCCATTCTATCATCCGCCAGAAGCATAGAAATTTCAGTTTGGGAAATGCAATAATTGATGTAGATGATGACGTGACATCACTCTCTATTCCCAAAAACTCATTACCCACTCTTTTCATACTCTTCATATCCCAAATTTGAAGAATTTCAAGGCATGACAACTTACCCAAAGGAGGCAGCTGCTTACAGTTTATACATTCCCAAATAAGTAACTTTCTCAATTTGGTCAATGACATCATCCAATTAGGATAGATAGTGTTGCCTATGTAATTTGCTAGCACTAATATCTGTAAATTTGGATGTGGTTGCAACTCCTCAAGAAGTTCTTGATTTTGTACCTCATTCATCCTCCCCTCAAAGTATACCCTCGAATAACGCAACTTTTTCTTATTGTTTAATTCTATTCCCTTAACCTCATCCACATCTCTCAAATTTCCCAAACCTTTTATATAAAATTCTTGAAGGTGCTTAAAGTTTTTTAGACATTCAACTGAACATGCTTCACTACCATAGCTGTCCTCACTTATAACAAAACTTTTTAATGTTTGTAGACCGGTTAATCTCTCAAAACTTTTTGGCATATAACTTATACTATCAGTCCCCCAATTAACAAATTGTCTCAAGTTGATTAACTTTCCAATCCCTTGAGGTAGTTTTTTGATAGTAAAACAATAACTTATGTCTAAGGTTTGTAGATTATATAAGTCGCACAATGTCTCAGGAAATTCTTTCATGTTTTTATTCCCAGACAAATTAAGGTACCTTAAGTGTATTAATTTTTTTATTTCTGTAGGAATTTCTTCAATTGAGCAGTAATTCAAAGATAATGACCTTAGACATGTCAACTGATCAACTAATTTGGACAAAATCATCTTAGGGTCAGTACCGTAATTAGAAACAACCACAAGGCTACGTAGAAAAGTATTTCCAGTATAATTAGAGCTAGGAAATGAGGCCCCTTCTTGAATCTTTATCATTGAATGTCTAACTTTATGATAAGAAGATTCTGATTCAATTTCTCCTGTATCATCAACCTCTATTGTATAACATTCATTTTGGTTAAGAAATTGAGCAAAATCATGCAGTATATCATGCATCTTGCAAGAACTTATATCAAGATCGTATTCATTTTGTTTAAAATCTTGAAAGAAAGAGCGCATTGCTAAGGTTTCAAAATACTCTTCACCAACTAACTTCATGTCCTTATTTGGTTTTGACTTTACATAACCTTGAGCCATCCATAACCTAATCAATTTTTCTTTCTCTATCTCGTAATCCTTTAGAAAAATGGCACAATATGAGAAATATTTTTTCAAAGTAGGGGATAAATCATAATAACTTAATAGTAGAGGTCGAAAAACCTCTTGTTCTACCTCTTCTAATTCCCAAACTTCACTCTCTAAGATATCTTTCCACTCGACAAATTTTCTTTTAAAACGCAAAAGACTCCCTAAAGTCTTTACTGCAAGTGGCAAACCCTTACACTTTTGAACAATTTTCCTACCGATTTCTTTCAATTCATTAGATTCTTCATTGCTTTCTCCTAAAAAAGCAACTTTACTAAACAAATACCAACATTTTTCCTCAGATAATGTCCCTAGTGGTATTATTTTGGTGGTTCCTATGACATTTGCAACGTTCTCCTTACGTGTGGTCACCAAAATTCTACTTTCTGGAGAACCAAACTTAAGGGAGCACTTTAATTGATCCCAATGTTTGGGATTTTCAGTCCATATGTCATCTAGGACAAGAAGAAACTTCCTTCCGTTGATAAGTTGGCATATGTTCTGCACCACAGTTTCTAACTCGTTTAAGTTTGGTGCAGTATTTATAAGAGATTCAAGGATTGCTTTGGCAACCCTAAGCTCATCAAAAGGCTCGGAAACACACACCCATATTTTTTTTTCAAAATGGGTGTTAACCTGATCATCATTAAAAACTAATTGAGCAAGAGTAGTCTTACCAATTCCTCCCATCCCTACTATAGAGAGAATGCGGAGGTCTTGTACATGACTATTTTGACTCAGCAAAAAATCTATTATTGTATTTTTATCGCCATCTCTTCCATAAATCTCTGTTAAATCAATAACAGAGGTTGTCATTGGTCGTTCTACTTCTTTGGTACTCTCAGTGATAGATCTAAAGTGGAACCTCTCTTTCTCAGTAGCAATAATATCTAATTTTCTATCAAGATCTTTTATCTTGACGGTAATATCATAACGCAAAACTAGTGGCCTACAACCGAGATAGTGAAGAATGAAGGAACGTACCTTTTTTAGAGGCTTAGAAGCATCTTCAGCTTTCTTAATTCTTAAAATCTGAAGCTTCGTGTTCCACTCATCCAACACATCGTCAATGTCATAAGACACATCCTTAAGCTTGGCCAACCAAACTCTCACAGCGTCCTCCTTCACCTGTCGGTTCTCAGCATCAGTAAGCACAGCTTGAATGGCCATGAAATTGCTCTGAAGCTTCTCAACCTTTGGCTCAGCACATGCAATCAACCTTATTCCTTCTTCCGCTTGTTGACGACCGATGGAAGCCAGTTGTTCCAAGACAATGGAAACAAGCGCTTCAGCCATATTGAAAGATGTAACGTAATTGATGAAAACAGAGATTGAGAAATTTAAATGGTTGGTGTGTTTTGATCAATGTTTATAGTCAGAGAAAGACCAAAGGCATCTTATAGCGTGTGCCTTTGCCTTACACCCTCCTATCAATATAAACTTCTAATCCTTTACTTGTCCTTCACGCCGTTAATTAAGAATGATAAATATCTCCTAATCACTATTTGATTACGCGTATTAGGTGAAACATTAATCTAAAAATTGAGATCACAAGATGAGAATGGGGATGCGCATATGGAAATTGTTGTGAAGTGAATGCTGAAACGGCGTCGTATTGTGTTAAATGGAACGGCGTCGTTTTTGGGACAGCCCATGAGTGATCCTGACCGCAAATTCAGAAGGGGAGCCAACGGCTGAGATCTTGCCTGAAGTCAACACTATAAAAGGTTTAGGGTTTCATATAGTAACAGTAGATCGAATAACGATTTAGAGAGAGCAGTCTTCGTTTTTCTGTAAAACCTAGGGTTCTTTCTTTGGGTCTGATTCTTCTGTGTAATCTGTGGGTTCTTGAGTGATTTGGGGTTAATCAGTCAAGGGAAAGAACTGCTGTGTTCTTGGTATAGGATTTCCAGGTTAGAGGAGTCCTAGGGCAGATTACGGGTTCAGAAAGTGTTATTAGATCTGGGTTTTCTTGGAGTGTCTTTCTCTTGTAATTGAGACTGTAAATCTGGTGTTCTTTAATCATAGTGCAGCGAACTCTATTTCCAGAGTTCAACGTGGATGTAGCTTGCTCTAATCGGGCAAGTGAACCACGGTAAAAGTTTCTGTGTTGTTGATTGTTGTTTTCTTCTTGATTTCTTGTTTGGTTTAGTTTGCGTTATAAGTTGATTGCATAACAGTGGTATCAGAGCCATCGTGATAGGGAGAAATCTTGTTTGAAACTGTTCAATTTTTGACAGATTGAAAATTAGGGTTTGCTCGAAAAATTAGGGTTTCTCAGATTTTAGGGGTTTCTGGATCTAAAGGTTCCTAGAGTCTTAGAACGTTGATTCCTACTGAGTCTTGGGGTGTTCTTTGTGAGATTAGATCACAAACACTGGTGAAGGAGAGAAATCTAGGTCAGTGACGTGAGTCTGTACTTACACTGTTCTTTTTCGATTGTCTATCCAGTTTAAGGGTATAAAGGCTGGAAACCAGTGACCGCCTGAAAAACTGCCTGGCAGTATTTGGCAACTTCTGGTGTAACAACGCCACTTACTCCTTATACTGTATTACTTTCCTTTTTTTTATAATATCATGAGCACTACACGTATGGAGATCTCCCAATACGATGGGAAGATCGATTTCGGGAGTTGGAAGAAGAAGATGAAGGCTCTGCTTTCACATAACAAAGTCGCCCTGGCACTGGAGAAGGATCCAAAGAAATGGTCCGAGGAGAAATTGAAGGAGAAGGAGGAGATTGATGAAGCTGCCTACAATCTGATCGTGATGAACCTCTCAGACAGCGTACTGAGAAAGGTTGATGGAATCGAAACCCCTCTAGGGTTATGGGGTAAACTCGAAACTTTGTATGCACTTCAATCTGCACCTAACTTAGCTTTTCTCAAGGGTGCTTTGTTTTCTTATAAAATGGATAGTAGCAAGACAATAGAGGAGAACCTAGATGAATTCCTAAAAATGACCTTAATTTTAAAGGGCACAGATCAGGAACTAGGAGAGACTAGTCTAGCCATGATTCTGTTAAACTCCATTACTGAGGATTATCTTGTTGTTAAGAATGCACTTCAGTATTCCGGTACTGTCCCTAGTGTTGACTTGATTGTGGCTGGTCTTAAGGCTAGAGAACTTGAGTTAAAAGTCCAAAAACGAAGTGGGAGTAACCTGTTTGTTAGGGGAAAACCAGATACCTTTCAATCTGGTAAAGGCAGTCAACCTAGCCAGGGGTCCAAAAACAAGAAACGGGGTAAATGGAACAATAAGCATAAGGCAGAGTCTAGAAAATGTTTTTTCTGTAATAAAACTGGTCATCTGAAAAAGAATTGCTTTGAATGGCTTAAGAAACAAAAGCAGGGAAACACAGAGAGTAACCTAGCCTCATCCAAACACTTAGCTGAAGAAACAGAGGTCCTTACTGTCTCTGTTACTGACAATACAAGAGAGTGGGTGTTAGATTCTGGGTGCTCTTTTCACATGAGCCCCAATAGGGACTGGTTTCATGACTTTGAGGAATATGATAGGGAGACTGTGTTCATGGGGAACAACAATGCCTGTAGGGTCAAAGGTAAAGGCAGTATAACCCTTAGACTCTGTAGTGGGAAACTAATAAAACTTACTCATGTTAGGTACATTCCAGAACTTAAAAGGAACCTCATATCCTTAGGAACCTTAGATGAAGAAGGATGCTGTTACAGAGCTGAAAATGGGTGGCTGAATGTGTATAGAAACCAGAATCTAATTCTGAAAGGAGAAAAAAAGAATGGGTTATACATCCTATGTGGAGAATATTATTCTGATTGCCTAAGTTCTTCTTTTGTCACCCCAAATATGTCAGTAACAGAAAAATGGCACCTTAGGATGGGACATATGAGTCAGAGGGGACTAGATATCCTAAGTAACCAAGGCATGTTAGGAAAGGACACTGCTGCAACCTTAGAATTTTGTGAGAACTGCATTTTAGGAAAACAGCACAGAGTCAGTTTCCCAAAAGGCATACACCTGGCCAAAGGTTGTTTAGAATACATACACTCAGACTTATGGGGACCTGAGAGAGTGAGGTCTCATGGGGGCAGTAGATACTTTATGTCCATTGTAGATGACTTTAGCAGAAAAGTGTGGATTTACACCCTTAGAACTAAGGACCAGGCTCTGTCTAAATTTCAAGAGTGGAAAGCCCTTGTGGAAAACCAACTAGACAGAAAGGTAAAAACCCTAAGGACTGACAATGGATTAGAGTACTATAACAATGAGTTTGATAAGTTTTGTAGTGAGCAAGGAATCCTAAGACATAGAACTATGAGAAGAACCCCTCAGCAGAATGGGGTAGCTGAGAGGATGAACAGGACACTCCTGGAAAAAGTCAGATGCTTGTTGTTCACCTCAGGGTTACCTAATACCTTCTAGGGAGAGGCCTTGTACACTGTAGCCTATCTGATAAATAGGAGCCCCTCAACTACCATAAATTTCAAATGTCCTAAAGAAGTTTGGTCAGGAAAAAAGCCTGGTTTAAGCCATTTGAGAATCTTTGGGTGTACATCTTATGCACATACAGTGGGAGGAAAGTTAGAGCCTAGATCCACCAAGTGTGTGTTCCTAGGATATCAAGATGGTACCAAGGGGTATAGACTCTGGGACAGAAAGTCACCAGAGGTAAAAATCATCATTTCCAGGGATGTGGTCTTTAATGAAGAGGAGTTCCCTTGTAAAACTAATGAACAGAACACTGGTACAAGCACTCCAACTGAACCCACCAAGGATACAACTGAGAGTACAACCATTGAGGTGGAGCCTGTGGGTCAGCAGGCTGAACCACCTTAACCCAATGAGGAACATGCACCTGAAAACCAACCAAGATCAGAGGATCCCGGATCTGATAGTGAAGAAAATGAAGCAGATGCCTCAGAGCCCCAACATGCATAATTATAACACTATCAACTTGCCAGAGATAGAATAAGGAGGGAGGTAAGACCCCCTGCCAGGTTTTCTTATGCTGAACTAATATACACTGCTTTGCTTGCAGGAACAGGGATTCAAAGAACAGAACTAGACTTATATGAAGAAGCCATGAACTCTAAGGAAAGGGAAAAATGGAGGCAAGCAATGGAAGAGGAAATGAGGTCACTTGAGGTAAACGGAACCTTGTCCTTGGTTTCCAAACCCAAGGATCAAAAGCTAATCAAATGCAGATGGTTGTACAAGATTAAAGAGGGAATCTCAGCTACTGACCCCCTTAGGTACAAGGCCAGCTTAGTAGCTAAGGGTTACACCCAACGTGAAGGAATAGACTTCAATGAAGTCTTTTCCCCTGTAGTCAAGTATAAAACCATTAGGTTAATGCTCTCCATTGTTGCCCATTATAACCTAGAGTTAGAACAGATAGATGTTACCACTACCTTTCTGCATGGTAACTTAGAAGAGGAGATTTACATGAGCCAACCCCTAGGTTTTATTGATCCCAAGAAACCTAACCATGTGTGCATTCTGCACAAATCAGTGGTATCAGAGCCATCGTCAGGGTGTAATCTTTTTTTTAGAAAACGTTCAATTTTTTGACAGATCGAAAAATTAGGGTTTGCTCGAAAAATTAGGGTTTCTAGATTTAGGGGTTTCTTAATCCAAGGTTCCTAGAGCCTTGGAACTTTGATTCTTACTAAGTCTTGGGGTTATCTTGTGAGATTAGATCACAAACACTGGTTAAGGAGAGTAATATGGTCAGTGCCGTGAGTCTGTACTTGCAGTGTTCTCTTTCAGTTGTCTGTCCAGTTTAAGGGTATATAGGCTGGAAATCAGTGACCGCCTTAAAAATTGCTTGGCAGTATTTGGCAAACTCTGGTGTAACAACGCCACTTATGCTTAGATTGTACTTGTAGTGTTCTCTTTCGGTTGTCTGTCCAGTTTAAGGGTATATAGGCTGGAAACCAGTGACCGCCTTAAAACTGCTTGGCAGTTATTGGCAACTTCTGGTGTAACAACGCCACTTACTCTTAGACTGTATCACATGTCTATATAATCCATGAGCACTACACAGTATGGAGATCTCCAATACATGGGAAGATCGATTTCGGGAGTTGGAAGAAGAAAATGAAGGCTCTGCTTCATAACAAAGTCGGCTTGCATTGGAGAAAGTCAAAAGAAATGGTTGAGGAGAAAATGAGGACAAGGAGGGAGATGATGAAGCAGCCTACAATCTGATCGTGATGAACCTCTCAGACAGGGTACTGGAAGGTTGATGGAATCGAAACCCCTCTAGGGTTATGGGGTAAACTCGAAACTTTGTAAGCACTTCAATCTGCACCAAACTTAGCTTTTCTCAAGGGTGCTTTGTTTCTTATAAAATGGATAGTAGCAAGACAATAGAGGAGAACCTAGATGAATTCCTAAAAACGACCTTAATTTTAAAGGGCACAGATCAGGAACTAGGAGAGATAGTCTAGTTCATGATGGTTACATTTACTGAGTTTGTTCCTTTGTTGGTGTAAAATTAGGAATGAAGATGGTTGGGTCCCTGTTGGTTCACGAGAGCAGCCACAAATTTCATGTGTTCAAACTCCACCGCTCACTTATCCCTGCAAATTTCACAATGTGTTTGTTTCCCAAGTTTAACCACAACTCACTATTAAGTAAAAATTTATAACATCATTCATTGATTCTATATATCCCTTTTGTCACCCAAATATTTCAGAAACTGATTGGGGAACTGATGCTTTGTCTTATTGAATGCAGCAATTACGAATAGTTTTATGAGTAAACGACTATTTCCCACCCAAGGTTTGCCTCTATGACATTTTCCCAACAAAAAAGTTTCAAAATACCATTTTCCAACCCAAAGTTTATATTTCGTTTACTATTTAAAATACACTTTTCGATTCGGTGGCTAATAGAGAGAAAACTTGGTCCTGGTTGTTCGGGCTTTTGAAGAGTAAATGTGGGTGAATCTTTTGGTGGTGGCAGGTTGGATTTTAGAGGTTAGGATTGGTCAGAATCTGACTTGGGAGGGGCAGTTGTGCATTACACAAATCACTCGATTATCGGTGATTGATGGGGTTGTTGAGAGTAAGGTTTGAGGGGTTTTGGTAAGTGATGATTAGGGAAGAGAATGGTGATGGCGTGGGGTCGCAAGTATGCCGAAAATCAGCTGCTGATTGGTCAGAATATAAACATTGGGTGGAAAAGTGGTATTTTGAAAGTTTTGGGTGGGAAAAAGTCGTTGACTCATAGTTTTATACTAAAAGAGAAATAAAATCAACACCTTTAATAAAATTTTCTATATCATTGATGCTGCAAAGTTAACCACCAATCCACCATTGGGTGGCCTGATGGTAAAAGAGCAAAAAAATGTTTCATATGCTCCTAAGTTTGAGTCCCTCCAGCCACTAATAGAAGTGGCCACTAGGGCTCTTTCCTGATCGACAGTTCTAAGGCTTTGGAAGATTAGTTGAGGTACCCATAAATTGGCCCGAACAACCTCGGTGATAAAAAAAGAAAAAAAAATGATGCTTTAAAGTTGGAATCTTTGGTCACACAAGTCACCACATGCATTGGTAATCAAAGTTTTAAAGTTTTGAATCGTAAAAGTTGTAATCAAAAGATGTTGAAGCTTTTATGGTGTTAATGTGAAAGCAAGTAAAAGATGTTTTGGAAGAATTGATAGTGAACGAAAAGTCATTCTGTTTGCGGAGGATGAGATCAATAAAGAAGACTTTTTACAATACTTTAAAGTGTAGCTTGATTGCTAATTAAGGAACATATCGTAATATTGAACAAAATATGAATATAACTTCAATTATTACAACCCAATAGATATTACACTTAAAACATTACAAAACATGATACAAATTGAGAACTTATTTCTATAATCAATTATAATCCTTTTAAAGTTCAAGACTCCATGAGCAGATCAGCTCAGCCCCAACAAAGAACACAATATTAGATGTCTCTTCTTTGTCATGAACATGAAAGGACAGTCTGCTACAAAACTTGCTACTGATAACTTGCACAATACGGTATTCTATAGCAGCAGTACAAGCTGCTACTTCAGTCCGTTCTTCATTAACTCAATATAAGACTTGTGGAACAATCTGTGAAACAAAAAGTGCTGAAAAAGTCCACCATTCAGTTATCTCCCGCACCATGGGATTGAAAGGTAATCCAATTCCCAGTTCCTCCATAGTTTCGAAGCTTCAAAATTAAATGAAAACTTAAATTTGGGGATCCAAAAGCTAAAAGGTCTTCTTTTTTGTAAATTGAACTGTGTGTGAGTGAATGTTGAAACGGCGTCGTACTGAATTAATGGAAATGTGTCGTTTTGAGACAGCTCCTGGATGATCTGACCGCTGATTCAGAGGAAAAGCCAACGGCTGAGATCAAGCCCTCCAGTCAACACTATAAAAGGATTAGGTTCCTGTTGTAATAGGATCAAACAGAAAAAGGTCGGAGGCAGTTTTTTCGTTTTCTTTGGAAAAACGAGGGTTCTTCTTTGGGTCGTTTCAGTGTAATCTGTGGTTTCTTGAGTGGTTTGGGTTAATCAATCAAGGGAAGAACTACTGTGTTCTTGTTATAGGGATTTCCAGGTTAGAGGAGTCCTAGGGCAGATTACGGGTTCATATCAAAGTTGTTCGATCTGGTTTCTTGGGTGTCATTCTTTGTAACGTGACTGTAATCGGTTGTTCTTTAATCATAGTGCAGCGAACTCCCTTTCCAGTGTTCAACGTGGATGTAGCTTGCTCAAATCGGGCAAGTGAACCACAGTAAAGATCCGGTGTTTATTGTTTGTGGTTTTCGGTTTCTTGTTTGTTTCAGTTTGCATTTTAGGTTGATTGCATAACAGTGGTATCAGAGCCATCGTCCTAGGGTGTAATCTTTTTTTTAGAAATCGTTCAATTTTTTGACAGATCGAAAAAATTAGGGTTTGCTCGAAAAATTAGGGTTTCTCAGATTTTAGGGGTTTCTTAATCCAAGGTTCCTAGAGCCTTGGAACTTTGATTCTACTAAGTCTTGGGGTTCTTTGTGAGATTAGATCACAAACACTGGTTAAGGAGAGTAATATTGGTCAGTGCGTGAGTCTGTACTTGCAGTGTTCTCTTCAGTTGTCTGTCCAGTTTAAGGGTATATAGGCTGGAAATCAGTGACCGCCTTAAAAATTGCTTGGCAGTATTTGGCAACCTCTGGTGTAACAACGCCACTTATGCCTTAGATTGTACTTGTAGTGTTCTCTTTCGGTTGTCTGTCCAGTTTAAGGGTATATAGGCTGGAAACCAGTGACCGCCTTAAAAACTGCTTGGCAGTATTTGGCAACTTCTGGTGTAACAACGCCACTACTCTTAGACTGTATCACACTGTCTATATAATACCATGAGCACTACACGTATGGAGATCTCCCAATACGATGGGAAGATCGATTTCGGGAGTTGGAAGAAGAAAATGAAGGCTCTGCTTCACATAACAAAGTCGGCCTTGCATTGGAGAAAGATCAAAAGAAATGGTCTGAGGAGAAATTGAAGGACAAGGAGGAGATGATGAAGCAGCCTACAATCTGATCGTGATGAACCTCTAGACAGTGTACTGAGGAAGGTTGATGGAATCGAAACCCCTCTAGGGTTATGGGGTAAACTCGAAACTTTGTAAGCACTTCAATCTGCACCAAACTTAGCTTTTTCAAGGGTGCTTGTTTTCTTAAAAATGGATAGTAGCAAGACAATAGAGGAGAACCTAGATGAATTCCTAAAAACGACCTTAATTTTAAAGGGCACAGATCAGGAACTAGGAGAGACTAGTCTAGTCATGATTCTGTTAAACTCCATTCTGAGGATTATCTTGTGTTAAGAATGCACTTCAGTATTCCGGTACTGTTCCTAGTGTTGACTTGATTGTGGCTAGTCTTAGGCTAGAGAACTTGAGTTAAAAGTCCAAAACGAAGTGGGAGTAACCTGTTTGTAAGGGAAAACCAGATACCTTTCAATCTGGTAAAGGCAGTCAACCTAGCCAGGGGTCCAAAAACAAGAAACGGGGTAAATGGAACAATAAGCATAAGGCAGAGTCTAGAAAATGTTTTTTCTGTAATAAAACTGGTCATCGAAAAAGAATTGCTTTGAATGGTTTAAGAAACAAAAGCAGGGAAACACAGAGAGTAACCTAGCCTCATCCAAACACTTAGCTGAAGAAACAGAGGTCCTACTGTCTCTGTTACTGACAATACAAGAGAGTGGGTGTTAGATTCTGGGTGTTCTTTTCAAATGAGCCCCAATAAGGACTGGTTTCATGACTTTGAGGAATATGATAGGGAGCTGTGTTCATGGGGAACAACAATGCCTGTAGGGTCAAAGGTAAGGCATATAACCCTTAGACCTGTAGTGGGAAACTAATAAAACTTACTCATGTTAGGTACATTCCAGAACTTAAAAGGAACTCATATCCTTAGGAACCTTAGATGAAGAAGATGCTGTTACAGAGTTGAAAATGGGTGGCTGAATGTATAGAAACCATAATCTAATTTTGAAAGGAGAAAAAAAGAATGGGTTATACATCCTATGTGGAGAATATTATTCTGATTGCCTAAGTTTTTCTCTTATCACCCAAATATGTCAGTAACAGAAAAATGGCACCTTAGGATAGGACATATGAGTCAGAGGGGACTAGATATCCTAAGTAACCAAGGCATGTTAGGAAAGGACACTGCTGCAACCTTAGAATTTGTTGAGAACTGCATTTTAGGAAAACAGCACAGAGTCAGTTTCCCAAAAGGCATACACCTGGCCAAAGGTGTTTAGAATACATACACTCAGACTTGGGGACCTGAGAGAGTGAGGTCTCATGGGGGCAGTAGTTACTTTATGTCATTGTAGATGACTTTAGCAAAAAAGTGTGGATTTACACCCTTAGAACTAAGGACCAGCTCTGTCTAAATTTCAAGAGTGGAAAGCCCTGTGGAAAACCAACTAGACAGGTAAAAACTCTAATGACTGACAATGGATTAAAGTACTGTAACTTTGAGTTTGATAAGTTTTGTAGTGAGCAAGGAATCCTAAGACATAGAACTATGAGAAGAACCCCTCAGCAGAATGGGGTAGCTGAGAGGATGAACAGGACACTCCTGGAAAAAGCAGAGCTTGTTGTTTGCTTCAGGGTTACCTAATACTTCTGGGGAGAGGCCTTGTACACTGTAGCCTATCTGATAAATAGGAGCCCTCAACTACCATAAATTTCAAATGTCCTAAAGAAGTTTGGTCAGGAAAAAAGCCTGGTTTAAGACCATTGAGAATCTTTGGGTGTACATCTTATGCACATACAGTGGGAGGAAAGTTAGAGCCTAGATCCACCAAGTGTGTGTTCCTAGGATATCAAGATGGTACCAAGGGGTATAGACTCTGGGACAGAAAGTCACCAGAGGTAAAAATCATCATTCAAGGATGTGGTCTTTAATGAAGGGAGTTCCCTTGTAAAACTAATGAACAGAACACTGGTACAAGCACTCCAACTGAACCCACCAAGGATACAACTGAGAGTACAACCATTGGGTGGAGCCTGTGGGTCAGCAGGGAACCACCTTAACCCAATGAGGAAAATGCACCTGAAAACAACCAAGACAGAGGATCCCGGATCTGATAGTGAAGAAAATGAAGCAGATGCCTCAGAGCCCCAACATGCATAATTATAACACTATCAACTTGCCAGAGATAGAATAAGGAGGGAGGTAAGACCCCCTGCCAGGTTTTCTTATGCTGAACTAATATACACTGCTTTGCTTGCAGGAACAGGGATTCAAAGAACAGAACTAGACTATATGAAGAAGCCATGAACTCTAAGGAAAGGGAAAAATGGAGGCAAGCAATGGAAGAGGAAATGAGGTCACATTGAGGTAAACGGAACCTGTCCTTGGTTTCCAAACCCAAGGATCAAAAGCTAATCAAATGCAGATGGTTGTACAAGATTAAAGAGGGAATCTCAGCTACTGACCCCCTTAGGTACAAGGCCAGCTTAGTAGCTAAGGGTTACAACCAACGTGAAGGAATAGACTTAATGAAGTCTTTCCCTGTAGTCAAGTATAAAACCATTAGGTTAATGCTCTCCATTGTTGCCCATTATAACCTAGAGTTAGAACAGATAGATGTTACCACTACCTTTCTGCATGGTAACTTAGAAGAGGAGATTTACAGAGCAACCCTAGGTTTTATTGATCCCAAGAAACCTAACCATGTGTGCATTCTGCACAAATCACTGTATGGACTGAAACAGTCCTGAGACAGTGGTATAAAAGGTTTGACAATTTCATTGTAAGTATAGGATACACTAAGAGTAGATATGATAACTGTTTCTATTTTAATTGAATCATAATCTGCCTGTATATCTTTTACTGTATGTGGATGATATGTTACTTGTGAGTGAGTCTAAGTCTAAAATTCATGAGTTAAAGGGTCAGCTTAGGTCAGAATTTGACATGAAGGATCTAGGAAATGCCAAAAGAATCCTAGGAATGGACATTATCAGGAACAAGGACAAACATGAATAATCATTAGGCAGAAATCATACTTAGAAAAACTAGTGTCTAAATTGGTATGGCTGACTCAAAACCAGTGTCTATGCCTCTGCAAACCCTGTTGTGTTAATAATGCCCTACAACGAGTCTAGAATAATCAAAATGGAATCTGTCCCCTATGCTAATGTTGTTGGATCTGTGATGTATGGAATGATCAGTACCAGACCGAACTGTCCTATTCTATTCCTTACTGAGCAGATTCATGGCAAATCCAGGCAGTGAGCATGGATGCCTTAAAGGGTGTATTAAGGTACATTAATGGTACCTGAATGTTGGTCTAAACTTCTGTAAAAGGCATTAACACTTGACTTGATGGGTTTTGTAGACTCTGATTTTGCAGGTGACAAAGACACAAGGAAATCCACACACCTCTTATTACTTTACCCTTGGAGGAAATTGCATTAGCTGGAAGTCACAAATTCAGCCATTGTTGCTCTCTTAACAACTGAAGCAGAGTATATTGCTATTGCTGATGTTTTTAGGAAGTTGTGTGGCTGTAAGGTTTGTTAGCCGAAGTAAAACTGACTGATGGCAAGGCTACTGTATTCTCAGATAGTCAGAGTGCAATCCATCTCAGTAAGAATCCAGTTTACCATGAGCGGACCAAGCATGTGGATGTCCGCTTCCACCTCGTAGAGACTTAGTAACACAGGGGGTAATTGATCTTGTAAAGGTTTCCACTGAAGACAATCCTGCCGATATAGGAACCAAGGTTGTCTCACCTGCAAAGTTCAAGCACTGCTTGAACCTGCTGCATGTAAGATAACCTGTGAAGACCAGAACAATGATGGAACTGTTTGGGTTTGCTGCAATGTGAAGGTTTAGCATTCAAGATGGAGATTGTTGTGAGTGAATGCTGAAACGGCGTCATACTGAATTAATGGAACGGTGTTGTTTTGAGACAGCTCCTAGATGATCCTGACCGCTGATTCAGAGGAAAAGCCAACGGCTGAGATCAAGCCTCCAGTCAACACTATAAAAGGATTAGGGTTTCCTGTTGTAACAGTAGATCAAATAGAAAATGGTCGAGAGCAGTTTTTTCGTTTTCTTTGGAAAAACTAGGGTTCTTTCTTTGGGTCTGATTTCAGTGTAATCTGTGGGTTTCTTGAGTGGTTTGGGTTAATCAATCAAGGGAAGAACTACTATGTTCTTGTTATAGGGATTTCCAGGTTAGAGGAGTCCTAGGGCAGATTACGGGTTCAGATCAGAGTTGTTCGATCTGGGTTTCTTGGGTGTCATTCTTTGTAATCGTGATTGTAATCGGTTGTTCTTTAATCATAGTGCAGCGAACTCCCTTTCCAGAGTTCAACGTGGATGTAGCTTGCTCAAATTGGGCAAGTGAACCACGGTAAAGATCCGATGTTTATTGTTTGTGGTTTTCTGGTTTCTTGTTTGTTTCAGTTTGCATTTTAGGTTGATTGCATAACAAACTGTCTAAAGAAGAATTGAGGATTGGACTTGAATCTGTTTACCAAGTTCTCAAAACCATAAACTGCGTCTGGAAGAAAGAAGTACATGGAGAATTTCCTGGTGTCTTGACCATTTCTGTAAGGGATTTTCAGACTTTTAAAACCATCAAAGGATCCGTAAAAATGATATGTATGTTTTCGACTAGTCATGAAGGGAACATGAACAGTCTGGCCATTGAGAAGGTAGAAGTCTCTGTATTCAGTTCTTGAGGCATCAATTTTTTCCGTCCATGCGCCTTTGAAGTAGAGTGCATTTATGAGAATCAAAACTATTTCTCTTTCCAAACCCCTTTCTGGGAGAAGATTTTTTATGAGTCCATTGGTCGCATTCTCAGCCCATCTATTTATTTCATCTCTCACTTGATCACTCTACATGAAGAAGCATATGAATTACTTCTCAAACTTCCTAAAATATGATAAATTTAGAATTGAAGTAAATAGATTTAGCCTTACCTTATTCATGAAGTCAACCTCTTTGGCTGTGGCACTGTAAACGCCTCTGATAACTTCTTCAAAAGAAGGTTTAAGTTTGAATCCTTCAGCCACCCAAACACCATTAATGAAAGGCAAGGTTGGACCTGCTGTTTGATTGTCGCCCTCATCGTTGGCTTGCAAAGCAACGGAAATCATTTGAGATGACAGCAAGACGAGATCCTCAGGATTTTTGGATCCCAGAACCCAAAGCAACTACTCTAAAGTACGCCCTTTTGAACCCACTGCAATCAAGCTCAACACAACATGGAATGACAAAGGAGAGATCACAAAATTTGATCCTTTTGTCATTGCTTCTTTCAGTAGAACATGAATTGCCATTTTTAGATAGAAATCAGTGCTAAAATGGTTGGTGGGTGTTACTCTGAAAGTAAACTCCATTGTGATAAAAGAAGTGATGTTTTGCAGCTTCATTGATTTGTTTAGCCTTACTTGTATAGGAGTTCAATTTCTAGAATGGAATCTTTTCCAAGTTACAATATTTAATTTAATCAATTCTTAAGGCTTGGATCTAAACAATTTTTTCACAATTTTTTTTGTAATTGTTCGTGAGTATTTAATTTAAGGTGCGATTACTTGTTCAGAAAGTTAAACACATAAGAAAAATTTGTCAACAAATTATAACGTATGACAAGTCGTTTAATTGCCAAAAAAAAAGAAACGAAGTTGGTTCTATTGAACAATTTGACGATTAATGAGTCTTTTGCCTTTTAAGTGCTAGTTGTTTGATTATCTAAGATGTACATACTTGGCAATCTTCTGTAACTATTAGTATGACAAACCACGCTACTTTGCTTTTAGTAAACGACAAGACATTAGCTTTACATTCAATAAAACAATAATAGTGCTAGATATACAAACAAATCTTATAAAGATTTGTGTATAAACTGATGTGAAAAAAAATAAATATAATGAGTTTGACTTTTTGTATTAACTCTTCCATTCATTTCCTGCCACATCAGTTTGTATACAAATCTTTGTAAGATTTGTTCGTACAATTAGCATTACTCATAAAACAAATATGTGAGGACTTGATTTCACAAGTTGTATTGGCTAGTCTAAAATCAAACTATACAAGTACTATTAATTAAGAATGGAAAATAAGTTTAACTTTTTTCTATATTTACACAGTCAACATAAGGAAACCCTAAGGGTTGACCTAATGGTCAAAAAACTTTTCTCCCTTCATTGACTTTCTAGATTTGAACCTTGAGACCGAAACTTACCTTGGAATATTGGGTTTGTAGGATGTTCAATGGATCCCATGAATTAGTTTAGGTGCGTGCAAATTGACCAGACATCCCGATCATAAAAAAACAAAATAGCAACTAAATGACAATTTTGTTTGGTGGAAATGAGTTTATAGGAAGCTCAAATACAATTTACATAAGTAATTTTTTTGCTCTTTCCTTAACTGGGGAAGAATTAGTTTCATTTTACCAAAAAAACCCCCCCCCCAAAAACAGACAATAATAGGTTTAAGTATTTGAAGTATATAATTTATTGAAATAAAACATTTTTTTCTTTCTATTTTTGTGTACTAGCTTTCTTGTCCCCAAGTTTTAGTACCCATAAGCAATATTATCTACAAGAAGTTACTCACTAATTATTAGCTAGTTGTATTAAGTTACTTAGAAAACCATGCTGATTAAACACACGCCAATAATTTTACTAAAAGCCCAAAAATATTACCATATGGAAGTTAAACGAGAATCAGAGGAGACAGAGTTCTATGAAAATCTATAAATGCCTTTAGATTGAAAGTAAAGCACCAATTAATTATTTAATTAACATTCATCAATTTATATAGTTACCATTTAAAGATGGGTTTCAGTTTCTACTTTCAACAAGTATTTTTCTATCTTAATTGTGTTTATTTTATCTAAAAATGTTTGTGCAATAAATGAAACAGTTTTCGATGTAATGGATTTCGGCCTGCAGCAAATTGCGAGAATGATGACAAGGATGTTAGAATAATTAACTATAACTCTCTCCTTTTCATTTCTTTAATTATACTTGATTGTTTACTACAGTACGCCATGACAAAACTCAAATTAGCAGATAATCTCAAAGATTTTGTTATATTAACTACTATGTTTCTATTATTTGTACTCTTAGGCTTTTAGTATTGCTTGGAAAAAAGCTTGCGATTGAAATGGTAAGAGCAAGGCTTTGGTTCCGAAAGGAAAATACTTGGTCAGTTCAATGGTGTTTGAAGGTCCATGCAAAGGTCCAATGTCATTTATAGTGAAAGGGTTTGTGAAGGCTCCTACTGATCTATCAATATTTGTTGACAAGCGAAGTTGGATCACCTTAAAAACTTGACCCTCGCTGGAGGTGGAATTTTCCATGGCCAAGGACAAACTACATGGCCACAAAACGATTGCAACAAAAATTTAAAGTGCAAGCTTCCTGTTGTGAGTACTTTTATTAATAATATCCTGACATTTTGATTTGATATCACTTCTTTGCTCGTTTTGTGTTTTGACAGTCTTTGCGATTCAATTTCGTAACCGACTCAACAATAAAATAAATAAAATCTGTTGATAGTAAGAAGGTTCATATCAATGTTTTTGCCAGCTACAACTTGAAGATAAAATCTATTAAGATCTTAACACCTGGAGATAGTCCCAACACTGGTGAAATTCACGTTGGGTCATCAAAAGGGATTAATATCTACGATTCAGCGATAAGTACCGGTGATGCTTGTGTCTCTGTTAGTCCTGGAAGTGAAAACATTCTAGTCTCCGATGTTTTCTGTGGACTAGGACATGGGATTAGTGTTGGTAGTCTTGGAAGGACTCCAAATGAGGAAGCTATTACTGGTTTGATAGTAAAAAATTGCACCTTCACAGGCACAGGTAATGGTGTAAGAATCCAAACATGGCTTGATTCTTATGAGAGCACAATTTCCAATTGTTATGTAAATCCACTATCAATTCTCTGCCTAGTCACATGCACAAACAATACAGATAACACACACACACAAGATAGAATCAAAAAACAACAAACTCAAGAACACCAAATATACCGTGGTTCACCTTTCCACAAAGGAAAGATTACATCCACGTTGAGCTCCAAGAATTTTGGGGCTCACTGCACTAGGAATAAAACATTATTACAGATTACAGAAAGCTCTCACCGATTTACCCAACTATCAATCTTTTAACCCACTCACACAAACCTGAAAAATCCCTAGAGATGACCTGACCCAGTCTCTCCAAACCTAAAGGAAAAACCTACCCTCACCCAAGATTACATGGATTCAGAACTCAAACAAGATTGACAACAAACTCTCAACACAAGGGCAAAACAGATCTGTTGCCCAAAAGAGAAGAAGAAGACAAAATTATTGTTCTGTGTAAAGAGCTCTCCCTTTATATAGTTTGACCTCATGAGCTAATCCTGGCCGTTGGATCATCTTCATTTCAGCAGTTGAGATTTGTTCTTATTTGCAGTGAAACGACAACATTTTGTTTAGTGATCTGTTGCAGAAACTTTTACGTTTTGCGCTTCAGATGTTAACAATTCTCCACCTTGAAGCTCAAAACTTCTACAACCCAGATTTCCTAAGTGCAGCTCACCATGCTAAACTTCCTTCACAGCTCAGTTGCTACCTGTTACTTGACAAACAATAGGTTCAAGCAATGCTTGAACTTGGCAGCAGTGACGATCTTGGTACCCATATTAGCAGGATTATCTTCAGTTGGGACTTTTTTCAAGATGATCAATCCTTGGGCAACTAGATCTCTGATGAAATGAAATCTCACATCCACATGTTTGGTCTTGTCATGATAGACAGGATTCTTGCTCAGGTGAATGGCGATTTGGCTATCTGAATAAATGGTGGCTACTCCATCAATCAAATTCACTTCAGTTAGTATTCCTCGGAGCCATAGTGTTTCCTTGAATACATCAGCAATAGCCGCATACTTTGCCCCAGTTGAGGAGAGTGCCACAATAGGTTGGAGTTGGGATTTCCAGCTCACACAATTTCCTCCCAACGTGAAGACATAGGCAATGGTTGATTTTCTTGTGTATTTATCCCCTGCAAAATCAGAATCTACAAAACCCACAAGATCAAGTGAATTATATCTTTTACAACATTCCAAACCAATATGTGAAGTGCCATTAATATACCTCAAAACCCATTTAAGAGCTGACTAGTGTTCTGACCCAGGATTCGACATAAAACAACTCAACAATGACATAGCAAAGGAAATGTCAGGTCTGGTGCTAATCATGGCATACATAATTGACCCTATTACATTTGCATAAAGGACTTGTTCCATCTTTATTAACTCAGAATCTGTTTTGGTACATTGGTGTTTACTAAGTGTGAAATGACTAGCTAAAGGCATAGATACAACCTTTGATTCATCCATATTAAACTTAGAAACTAGATTTTGCAAGTAGGAGCTTTGAGTTAATCTTAATTCATGATAGTTTCTGTTCCTATGTATTACCATTCCTAATATCTTTTTAGCACATCCTAAGTCTTTCATGTCAAACTCAGTCTTAGGTTTACCCTTTAGTCCATCTATTCTAGATTTAGATTTGCTAATCAAGAGCATGTCATCCACATATAAGAGTAAATACAAAGGCATATTATTATCCAAAGCAAAATAAAAGCAACTATCATATTTGCTCCTATTAAACCCAATTAGGGGTGAGCACCAGTAGCGGGTAGAACCGGAATCGGGGGTAAGAACTGGAACCGGAACCGGAACCTACCCAGAACCTGCACTGTGCGGGTAGGTTCCGGTTCCAATTTTTTGGAACCGCTACTGTGCGGTTCCGGTTTCGGTTCTTGCATGTGGAGGAACCGGAACCGGAACCGGAACCAGAACCTATAAAAAGGGTACCCTGTTTGGAAACTGTAGGGGGTACCCGGTTTGGAACCTGTTTTGAAACCTGTTTGGAACCTGTTTGGAACCTGTTTTGGAACCTGTTTGGAACCTGTTTTGGAACCTATTTGGAACCTGCTTTGGAACCTGTTTTGGAACCNTGCCTAACTTCTTTACTAACTGGGGAATTTATCATCTGCCAAAAGGAAAAGGCCAGGCCATAGATATTTGTGCCCATTAGACAAATCAGTTTCACCTTGTAAAAGATCTATCACATGTTTCCTTTATTCT